TGGCAGGGGAGGAGTAGCGTGCAACTACAGCGTCGTACAAGGTCTGAGCACTCTTGTACTGGCTAAAGTGCGCACGCTCAGAGGTAGGCAGGTGGCGACGCACAGCAAGACGTGCAGCAGCATCGCGTGTGGCCCAGTGTGAGCAAACAGTGGCGTCAGCAACAGCAATAGGGGCAGGAGAGTCACCAGAGGTGAGGTCAAAGAGGGAGAGACCGTCTGCCCTGTCGCACTGTAAGAAAAGCTGCAGGTCATCTACCGAGACGTCAAAGTCAATGGCCCGACCCTCAGCGTCAAAGGTGAGGACACTAGGGGTAGCCATGACAGCAGTAGACTAGCAGCGCGAACAGTAGGGTAAGGGCAGTGCAGTGATAGAGGCGCTGCTCTTACCGGACAGGGCGGCTCGGGCGGCTCGGCGGCTCGGCAGTACGGCGGCTCGGCAACAACTGTGGCTCGGCGACTCGGCGGCTCGCGCGGCTCGGCGGCTCGGGCGGCTCGGGCGACTCAGCGGCTCGGGCGGCTTGAGCGGCTCGGCGACTCGGCGGCTCGGGCGGCTCGGCGGTCGTCTGCTGGGCGGCTTGGCGGCTCGGCTGCTGGGCAGCTCGGCAGCTCGGCTTCTGGGCGGCTCGGCAGCTCGGCTGCTCGGCTGCTGGGCGGCTCGGCAGCTGGTGTGGCTGGTGACGACCGCGGCAGCAGTCGCAGGAGCTGTGGCGACTGCTGCTGCAGAGACGGCGGCGGGTGCTGCCTCAGGGACGGCGGCGGCCGGCCGCTAGGGGCCGCAAAGGGCGGCGGAGAGGCCGTGAAGGGCGCCACGAGGGGCCGCCGAGGGCGGCGACGGGCCGTGAGGAGGCCGCGGAAGGCGGCTCGAGGGGCCGCGAGGGGGGCCGTAAGGGGCCGACAGGCGGCGGGAGGGGCCGAAGGGGCCGCGGGAGGGCCCGTAAGGGTAGCGTGAGAGGTCGTAAGGGGCCGTAAGGGGCGGCTCGCTGGGCCGTAAGGGCGGCGTTAGGAGCCGTAAGGGCGGCACGAGGGGTCGTAAGGGCGGCGCGTCGGGCGCGACGGGCCGTAAGGGCGGCACGACGGGCCGTAAGGACGGCGCTAGGGAGCCGTGAGAGGGCCGCTAAGGGCGACGCGACGGGGTCGTGAGCGGCCTAGCGAGGGCGCGACGGTAGGGAGAGCACACGGGGCGCGACTCGGGCTGGAGCGAAGCGCGCTCCGAGCAGGAAATAAATTTCGTGGTGGTGGGCCCTAGGAATCGTTCCCACTAGGGAACCTGCTCGATACCATGAGAAGAAACGAGGAATGAGAATGACTAAGGGAAAGTTGGGTACAAGTACAAACCCTAGAAAGTTGTACCCCATATGTGCTACCCCACTATAGCCTACAGTAGCTACGTCATATATGTTTGACATTGGAACGATAGAAAAAACGTGAACCTAAGGATTTAAGAAAGTTGCCGCGGCTGGAGAGATCAACAGAATGGATTTGGATCCGACGGTCGACGCAATCGTTTAGAAGCACGTAAAGAAGGTCGAGAACGGCTTCGCAAGGAGTTTGCGGCGAAGCTTGACAAAGAGCTATCTGCGAAGCTTCAGAAGATTACGTTGGAGAAGGTCTCTCCGTTGACCACCGCCGCCGATTCTAAGCCCCTGAACAATAAGGCGAAGAAGAAGCAGGGGAAAAGGAAGATTTTTTTGCGCTCCTACTAACGGCAAGGAGAAGGGCCGAGCAGCACGGAGGCAGGCCTGGGTTCCAAAAAACGGAGGCGGCGGCCCCGCAAAAGGGCCGCCAAAGAAGAAGTAACGGCGCGGGATCTCGCGCTTCGTTGGTTCGGCCGGCATAACTTGAGTGCTAAGGTTTTAACAAACGATGAGCGACGAGCACTCGAGATGGGACTGAAATTCGTGCCAACGCCTACCAGGAACCCTTCCATCGAAGCAGATCTCGATCAACTACATCGACAAATTTCTCTGCATTTCTTCTTCAAGGATAAAGGGGATTCATCTGAGATGTCACGCTTCCGTGTGCGCAACCCAGATTGGAAACCCGATCGAGAAGTTGTCCATGGAGTCGGTGTTCAGGGAGGCCCACAACGACCTCTCTTACCTTCTGAAAGCGACGACGCCACGGCGGGGTTTCAACATCTCGTCAGGAATTCGTAAGGCGTTGCGCTCCCTCACCACCGACCGCAGCATCGTCATCAAACCTGCAGAAAAAAACATTGGCGTTACTATCCTCGATCGGCAGCACTACATCGACTTGTGTATGGAACATCTCGGGGATGCAGAAGTGTACCAGCCGATTGAACGTGATCCGACGCCACGGGTTCTGCAGCAGCTGCGGGAGTTGAAGGTGACGTGGGGACCGGCTTTTCCAGATAGTCTCTGGACATATTTCTTCAAGGAACTACTCGGGGAATGGCGGCCATCTGCATTCTACGCATTGCCTAAGCTTCACAAGAAAGTACCTGTGGGGCGACCGATCGCTACCTCACACTCATAGGTCATGACTAATGTGAGCAAGTGGCTTGACGCTGAACTTCGCCCACCGGTCTTGAATCGTCCTACGTATCCGGGATTCTCTCTCTCTGCTGACAACGCTCGAACGCACCACATTTCCGACGACGGTACTTCTAGCAACGTATGTCGTAGCCGCTCTCTACCCCAGCATTTCGATCGGGCGCGGCCTTGATGCTGTCAGCTATTTTCTGATGAGGGAGAAACCGCAACTCACCCCACCTCTCATGGCCCTTCTGGGTTAGGTCATGAGGAACTCTTTCGTCGAGTTCGGCGGCCGGATCTTTCACCAACTACGAGGCACCACCATGGGTACACCTGTGGCAGTCCGCTTCACGATCCTGTTCATGAGCCGCCTGGATGAGTTACTTAAGGGGAAGTGGACCGGAACATTACCCCTTTACCATGTATGCTACATCGACGATGGTCTAATCGTGTGGCCGGGGACGTGGGCAGATTTGGAAGCCTACCTACGCACCTTGAATGAGCTTGATCCGAACATCCGGATCACATGGTCTGTTTCGGACTGCTCCATCGACTTTCTAGACGTGGTTCTCTTTAAGGGACCATGGTTTTAGGAGCAGGGTACTCTGGATTTTGGCACGTTTTAGTGGCCGATGAACAAGTATCTCTATCTTCCCTTTGCTTCCTTCCACCCACGGCATTGCAAGGAAAAATTCACACACAATTGAAGTGGTACCTGCTCCGCTCTACATCAGCTGCGGCTTTCCTCGCAAGGAAGAAGGCTTTCTTCGGCCGGCTTCGTGATCGTGGTTACCCACCTGCCTTTCTGCACCCAATCTTCCAAAGCGTCACCTTCGCTCACCGTTCGTCACTCCTCGCCACTATCATCGTGTCAAAATCCCAACCACTAACTACTGGGATAAAATGGCTTGTTTGTATAGTGGTTGAGTGCGCCCATAACCCCTCTAGGCCAACGTGCCTGTAACCCTTCCCTAGGATCAATCAGGGATCGCCAGTGGACCTCTGACACCCCCCCATACTGGGATGCCTGAGGTGCACACACTGGGATTCGAACGCGATACCTTCGTTCTGATACCATGTCAAAATCCCAGCCACTAACCATTGGGATAAAAGGGCTTGTTTGTGTAGCGGGTGAGTGCGTCCATAACCCCCCAGGCCAACGTGCATGTAACCCTTCCCTAGGATCAATCAGGGATCACCAGTGGACCTCTAACACATCGCTAACCAGGCACTCCGGCAACAACTTTCTCTCCCATCCCGTGGACCCCTAGTTTTGAAGACACAGTACACTTTGGTGTCTGCTCGTCTCAGGCTGGCGGTCCTTTTGAGTCGACTCAAAACTCGACTTATTACACGCGGATTATATGTGGAGAGGTTGTTTGTTGCATGCCAAATTGGTTGTAACCTTAACAGGTCACTGGTACGCGTGCGACTTCCACAGTTGCTGACTGGCAAAGATGCGAATTCGAGATTCAACGAAGACGCTCCAAGGATTGAAGACGTGGCCACCTGAAGTTTTCAAGGGTGATATGGATTCGTCCCCGTTTTTCGGGCTGACCCAGTGTAGATAACCTAGAGATCAGTTTTTATGAGGCTTCGTTTCTTCTTGAAGCGTAGCTTAGGGGGTGGTACATTGCGCGCTGGTCCATTTACAGGGAAATGGACCAGGTTAGACAAGGGAGCACCAGTTTTTAGGGACCACTCGCGAAAGTGGCCCCTGCCTGCTACCCGCGTGGTCCCGGGCACCATTTGCAGCCGACCCCAACAGCACAGTGTTTTACAGTTTCGCAAAAGCAAGGTGGACGAAAACCAAGTCGCACCTAGTCACACGCGAACTACATTTTGCGACGGCTCGAATCACGAAAAGGGTCGACGTTTTGTTTTCGCGAGTGCCTGGGCTGCGAATTGGGGTCGACTGTTGGAAGTGGTCCCCCAAATCCTGCACGTGCACTGACCACTGTACATGCTGGTCCGTGGGGGGAGCTACCTGGGTCACCTCCTGGGCCGTGTGCTGGTCCATACAGCTGGTCCACGCTGGTCCGCGCAAATCCCCCTGGTCGCAGTGGCCCAGCGCGGCCCAGAGTAGTTCTGCCGCACATGGCACGGCACACCCCCTTAGCTCTGCTTTTTTCATTAGCACAGATGGAGGCCTGCAAGGGTCGCCCCTTAGTGCCGTAACATGTTCTTTTTACTCTACTCCTGAAGTCCTTGAGCTCGGATTGTTGAGATCTAAGTAATACAGGAGAGCTTTTACTGTCTGTCCTTTGCTTTAAGCCTGACTAAGTTTGCTGCTCGCTGAGAATTTAGACACAAGGCCGGGTAGAATGCACAGGTTACTGTGATTCCCAGATTGAAACCCTGCACTAGGCTGATTTCCTAAACTTTCTACTACCGGTAGATTTATCCTAATGCAATAATTGTGGTGAAAAGGTAGCACCCTTTCGCAAGGGTTCTGAACATCCTGGACCCGACCTGGCTAAGTGTACTGCGCACAACAGAACACTCTTATGTGGTGTACTCCGCATTAATCTTGACATAGTCATAGCTGAGATCGCATCCCCACGCCTTGCTGTCCCCAGGGCCATCCCCAATGGAGATATCGATGATCACTGTGCCGTGCACCTCGCCCTTCCCCCTCAGATACTCACTTGCTGCCTTCCTGCTTGCGGCCAGAGGGGAGTAAGGAGGGGAAGGGGAGTGGGAAGGAGGGGAGCGGGACGGGAGTGAAAATGACAAGGATTGAAGTGTTGGTGGTTGTGACAGGAGTGAGATAGAGTGGAGGATTCACGAGCAACGCAAGCATATGGTGTGCATAGGGATAAGCGATGAAAGGCAGATACTTATCCAGTTCCCCCTTCCCCAGTTCCCCAGTTCCCCCTTCCCCAGTTCCCCCTGTCGAAGGGCAGCGGCAGTCCTTTGTCCATGACCAGAGAGTATCACCCAGGGCAATGCACAGCAGTTTTTCAGAAGCCCTCACCCTGTTCCCCCCTCCCCAGCATGTGTCTGTCAAACCGCAGAGGCTGCCCCTTGTCCATGAGCAGTATGTCACCCAGAGCAATGCGCAGCGCCGTGGGGTCAAAGGTCGTCCCCAGTTCCCTGTCCCCCAGTCCCCTCCCCCCCGCCCCCCTTCCCATCCCCCCAGCACGTGCCTGTCGAACGGCAGCGGCTGCCCCTTGTCCATGAGCAGAATGTCACCCAGGGCAATGCGCAGCGCCGTGGGGTCAAAGGGCACGCCTGCGTACCCTGCTGCACACGCTATGCGCCCCCAGTTGGGGTCGCGCCCGTACACTGCCGCCTGTCAGAGGGGATTGGAGAGGAGTGGGAGGGGTGAGAGGAGTGAGAGCAGTGCAAGGAGAGGTTTGGGGCGGGGAGGGGGAGGCAAGAGGGCTGCTGGAGAACGGGGCAGAGCGGAGCACGACACCGCAGGAAAACAACCACAAGAAAGGACGTTGGAAACAAATGTACTAGTAGAGAGAGGTAAGGAGAATGGCCAGTAGACACGATACAAGTGAGGTTGGCATGATTATGCTGGTTCCATGTTCAATGCAAGATTCATTTTCATAACAGATTCGGCTTCGCTCAATCACCTTGGCAAGGGATGATGCTGCCACCGAGCGCGCCACCACTGCTGCATCCGCCTCCGTCTTCGCTCCTGATACATGCACCTGATGGGTTAGGTGTGAGTGACAAGGTGGAGAGAAGAGGAGGGGGTGAGCATCTGACTTCTGAGACGTCTAGAAAAGCACAGCTGCATCAGCCCCTGTCTTCCCTCCTGCCACATGCACCTGATGTATTTGACGTGACGTGTGACAAGGTGGGAAGGGATGAGGCAAGGGGGAGCGGATGAAGATGGATGAGGAGACGAGATTGTCGAGAGTGGAGAGCGGGAAGAGGAGAGTAGGGAGAGGAGGCAAGGAATGACGGGGAACGTGAGAACAGAAGCAAAGAGCAACACAGATAGAGGAGTGCTAAGTGGTGACAAAAAAGGGAAATGATGGGAGGGGGAGTGGAGCGGGCAGTTTCATTCACTCGGTTCTCAGGTGCGCGTGTGCGTGCGCGTGTGTGTGGGCGTGTGCGTGCGCGTGTGTGTGGGCGTGTGCGTGCGCGTGTGTGTGGGCGTGTGCGTGCGCGTGTGTGTGGGCGTGTGCGTGTGCGTGTGTGTGGGCGTGTGCGTGCGCGTGTGTGTGGGCGTGTGCGTGCGCGTGTGTGTGGGCGTGTGCGTGCGCGTGTGTGTGGGCGTGTGCGTGCGCGTGTGTGTGGGTGTGTGCGTGTGCGTGTGCGTGGGCGTGTGCGTGTGCGTGCGCATGTGTGTGTGCGTGTGCGTGCGTGTGTGTGTGTGTGTGTGTGTGTGTGTGTGTGCGTGTGCGTGCGCATGTGTGTGTGTGTGTGTGTGCGTGTGCGTGCGCGTGTGTGTGTGCGTGTGCGTGTGTGTGGGCGTGTGCGTGCGCGTGTGTGTGGGCGTGTGCGTGCGCGTGTGTGTGGGCGTGTGCGTGCGCGTGTGTGTGGGCGTGTGCGTGTGCGTGTGTGTGGGCGTGTGCGTGCGCGTGTGTGTGGGCGTGTGCGTGCGCGTGTGTGTGGGCGTGTGTGTGCGCGTGTGTGTGGGCGTGTGCGTGCGCGTGTGTGTGGGTGTGTGCGTGTGCGTGGGCGTGTGCGTGTGCGTGGGCGTGTGCGTGTGCGTGTGCGTGCGCATGTGTGTGCGCGTGTGCGTGCGCGCGCGTGTGTGTGTGTGCGTGTGCGTGCGCATGTGTGTGTGCGTGTGCGTGTGTGTGTGCGTGTGCGTGCGCGTGTGTGTGTGCGTGTGCGTGTGTGTGGGAGTGTGCGTGCGCGTGTGTGTGGGCGTGTGCGTGCGCGTGTGTGTGGGCGTGTGCGTGCGCGTGTGTGTGGGGCATGTGCGTGCGCGTGTGTGGGCGTGTGCGTGCGCGTGTGTGTGGGCGTGCGTGTGGGCGTGTGCGTGGGCGTGTGCGTGGGCGTGTGCGTGTGCGTGGGCGCACCTCGATGAGGCAAGTGGCGCCCTCCCCATCCCATGCGATGGCCTTGGCCAGCCCTTGACACACCTGCCGAGGGCGTGCAGGGGAAGGGCGGGGGGACAGTGGGGGGAGGGCGGGGGGGATTTGGGGGGAGGTTGGGGAACGAGGGGAGAAAACGACGGGTAAGGGCAGAGGACTCTCAGGTCAATGAAAGGCGGCAGATGGAGGACAGGTGGAAGATAGCACTAGGTAGAAAGGATTGGTCTTGAAAGCTACGAGGTAGACAGTCATCAAAAGCTGTAGAATAAAAAAAAGCACAATCAGTGTGGTGCATGAGAATGCGGGGCATACGGGCAACGCAAACCGAGGCAGACGAAAAGCACTTGGGCGAGCGAGTGGCGAGAGAAAGGCATGCGTGAGTGAGTGAGCAAGTGAGCGACTGAGTGAGTGAGCGAGAGAACGAGGAAGCAAGTGAGTGAGTGGGTGAGTGAGTGAGTGTGGGATCGCATGCAGTGACCCTCACCGCGTCCTTCGCAGCTTGCAGCTGCCTGCCCTCCTCCAAGGCACTGTCCGCTATCCCTCCACCCCCCCCCCCCCCCCGCCTTGAAATCCACTCACGATATACCCTCAGGAGTGAGCGAGGGACTGAGAGTGGAAGAGTGGAAGGGCCTTTTCACAGAGAGCCTCACCGCGCCCATCGCAGCCTGCAGCTTCTGCCCTCCTGCGATCCCCTACCTCAAAATCCACTCACAATATACGCTCAGGAGTGAGCGGGGGGGACTGGGAGCGGAAGAGAGAGCCTCACCGCGTCCATGGCAGCCTGCAGCTGCCTGCCCTCCTCCGATGCACTGTCTGCTATCACAGGCCCCCCTGCCTTGCCGCTCGCCAGTGCGATCACACAGTCGTTGGTGCTCGTGTCACCGTCCACCTGCATGGGGAGGGAGGGGGGAATGAGGGGAGGTGGGATGAGGGGAGGTGGGTGAGAAGCATCCTTGTTCAAGTAACGGTAGAGAGAGGAAGAAAGAGAGAGATGAAGAGGAGGGAGGGAGGGATGAGCAGGGCACGCACGGTGATCTGGTTGAAGCTGCGCTGCACGGCTGTGAGCACCACATGCTTCCACACATCAGGCACCACTGCTGCGTCACATGTCACCACCTGCAGGGACGCGCATGCAGTCACAACATGCATTCGGTCGGGCGGTTGGTCAGGCATTCACGGCATGCATGCACGCACATCGGACAAATAGGTGGAGGGAGGGGATGCGGGGTGAGGATTATTAGAGTAGACTCATATCCGGCAACAGCAAGGCAAGATAGCAAGGCAAGATCGCAAGGCAAGATAGCAAGGCAAGATAGCAAGGCAAGATAGCAAGGCAAGATAGCATGGCAAGATAGCAAGGCAAGATAGCATGGCAAGATAGCATGGCAAGATAGCATGGCAAGATAGCAAGGCAAGATAGCATGGCAAGATAGCAAGGCAAGATAGCATGGCAAGATAGCAAGGCAAGATAGCATGGCAAGATAGCATGGCAAGATAGCATGGCAAGATAGCATGGCAAGATAGCATGGCACAAGCGCACAACGGCCTCCCCAGTGTGGGATACATGCTTAACATCATACCAAAATGCACAGTATATTGTTGAGGTGCCTTAAAGCCAGACCGCTTGACATAATATTAAAACTCATAGTTCACGACGCTGAGGTGCAGTGGGCCCATGCCCTTGAACTGATGTGTGTTCTGCGAGCAGTTGTCAAAACAGCGTCACACTTCCGCCTGCCTTCCCCCCTCCCCCTTCCCCTCTTCCCCCCTTCCCCCTCCCCCTCCCTCTTCACCCCTCCCCTTTACCCCCTTCCCCCTCCCCCTACCCCTTCCCCCTCCCCCTCACCCCTTTCCTCCCTACCCTCCGAGCATGGTGGCCATGTTGGGGTGGATCATGCCCGATCCCTTGGCCATGTTGGGGTGGATCATGCCCGATCCCTTGGCCATGTTGGGGTGGATCATGCCCGATCCCTTGGCCATGTTGGGGTGGATCATGCCCGATCCCTTGGCCATGCCTCACCCCTCCGCCTTGCCCCCTCACCCTTTCTCTTTCCCACATTCCATCCCCCCTCCCACCTCCGCCCCTCTCACCCCGAGCATGGTGGCCATATTGGGGTGGATCATGCCGGACCCCTTGGCCATGCCGCCCAATCGCACTGTTGTTGAGCCAATCTGCGGACACACGGGTGGGGATGGGCGGAAGCAGAGACGGGAACTGGAGGTGTGTTGGAGGGTGGAAGGCACAGGGGCTGCGGCAGAATAGGTGGCCATGTTGGGGTGGATCATGCCCGACCCTTTTTCCATGCTGCCCAATCGCACTGTTGTTGAGCCAATCTGTGGGCAGAGAGGGGCGGGGGTGGGAGGGTGCAGAGACGGGCGCAGGGGAAAGGGGCGGGGAGAAGGGAGGGTGGGATGTGATGAGGATGAGAGGTGTGTTGGGGCACGGAAGGCACGGGGGGGTGGCAGGCACGGGGGTTGTGGGGTGATGTGGTGCATATGTTCGGGTGGATCATGCCCGAACCCCACCGGCGTCTACCCTCTCCACACCCGCCCGCCAATCTCTCCCCCTCACCTGCGTCTCGATGGCAACGCTCTTGCTGACCAGGTCCATGGTGGTGATGGCCACGAGGTGCATTCTGAGTCCACTCAGAACTCCCCCCCCCACCTACATCTCTCTTCCTACCTGCAACCCTCCTCCACCCCTCTCACCTGCGTCTCGATGGCCACGCTCTTGCTAACCAGGTCCGTGGTTGTGATGGCCACTGCTGCTGCCAGCCCGCTGCCAGGGGGAGAAGCGGAGAGGAGCAGAGAGAAGGGGAGAGCAGAGGAGAGTAGAGAAGGGAGTGAGGAGAGAATGGCAGTTGCAGGAGGGCGGGGGAAAGCGCATGCATGTGCATGTGCAAGCGCATGTGCACGTGCAAGCGCATGTGCACGTGCAAGCGCATGTGCACGTGCAAGCGCATGTGCACGTGCAAGCGCATGTGCACGTGCAAGCGCATGTGCACGTGCAAGCGCGTGTGCATGTGGCTGTCAAGATGCATAGTCTTACGCTTCAGGGGTGGACGAGGCAGCATCAACGAGAGAGGGGAGAGCGTCGATAAGAGGAGCCTGCACGAGGGGGAAAAGCAGAGCGGAGTTCCACAGGGAACGCTTAGCTGGTTAGTAGAACAGAGTGGGAGCGAGAGAACACAGACAGGGCAGCGCGGAGTGGAAAACTGACAATTAAAAAGTGTGAAAGAAGGCAAGAAAAGGTATGTTAGGCTGGGTGCGAAGCATGTGGTGGGCGGCTGATGGATCAGAGGCAGTGCTCCGTGGTGTTTCAGGCCATAGCAGAGCGAGTGGCTCAACGGGCTCAACGGGCTCTTTGACCTTTCCGAGCTCACTCCACCCTTCCTCCTCCTTGATCCGCTGTCCAAACCCAGTGAACCCCGTTCACTGCACTAACCGCACCAGCACCAACACTGACGACACGAAGTGGCTTCTGTGTCGACTGAAACCAGAGATTTCTTATTGGCCTGGCAGCACCCACCTTCTTGATGCACTGCCCGATGACCCCCGTCGACTGCACCAGCACTGATGCTGGTGGCACAGGGTGGGATTTGAGTCAACTCAACAGTTAATCCATCGTCCTGATACCCTTGTTGCCTTTTGAGCATTCTCAAAAGTGACTCCTGATACCCTTGTTGCCTTTTGAGCATTCTCAAAAGTGACTCCTGATACCCTTGTTGCCTTTTGAGCATTCTCAGAAGTGACTCCTGATACCCTTGTTGCCTTTTGAGCATTCTCAAAAGTGACTCCTGATACCCTTGTTGCCTTTTGAGCATTCTCAAAAGTGACTCCTGATACCCTTGTTGCCTTTTGAGCATTCTCAAAAGTGACTCCTGATACCCTTGTTGCCCAACCCACCTTCTTGATGCGCTGCCCGATGACTCCCGTCGACTGCACCAGCACCGACTCTGCTGACACACCCAGCAGCTGTTGGAAAGGCGGGGAAGTGGGGGAAGGCGGGGAAGGGGGGGAAGGCGGGGAAGGCGGGGAAGGGGGGAAAGGGGGGGAAGGCGGGGAAGGAAGTGGAAGCAGGGGAAGCAGAGGGCGGGCACACAAGCACAGGTGAGAGGGATTAGGTAGATGGGGCATTGGGCGGATGTGCATCGGACAATGCGTGGGGAGGAGAGGTCAGGGAGGAATATGGAGAGGTTGGACCGACGAGCACAGGTGGGCGATGGGACTGGATGCGTGATTGGATGTGGGGATGGCAATGGGGCAATGGGGGGAGGGGATGGGGGTATTTGGAGCAACAGCAGAGGTGGTGAGAGAGTAGTGGTTAGGGATAAATTGGTCAGCCTGGGAGAGGAGCAGGACCATTGACTAGGAAGAAGGTAAATAGGATTAGGATTGTTAAGGTGAAGAGAGGGAAAGTTGAGAAAGGAAGAGGGAAACTGTTTGCCACCCATCCCATGCCGATCCATGACAAACAATGCCACAACCGACCACGCCATGCTACCATGCCATGCCATGGTGGTACCTTGGCCAGGGACTCAGCGCACTCGACGGTGTCCGCATAGCCAGCATCTCCCTGTGAAAGGGATGGGCGGAGGCATGGGGGTATGGGGGCATGGGGGTATGGGGGCATGGGGGTATGGGGGCATGGGGGTATGGGGGCAAGGGGGCATGGGGGCATGGGGGTATGGGGGCATGGGGGTATGGGGGTATGGGGGTATGGGGGTATGGGGGTATTGGGGTATGGGGGTATGGGGGCATGGGGGTATGGGGGTATGGGGGCATGGCGGTATGGGGGTATGGGGGCATGGGGGTATGGGGGCATGGGGGTATGGGGGCACGAAGGCATAAGGAGGGGATGGGAGCAAGCTCTTATCGTGGTGCGAGTGTATAATCTGGTACTAAGATGCGTGCGTGGGGAAGAGGGGCAAGTGGCATGCGTGGAGAAGGGATAGCAATCGAGGGAGCAACAGTCATTCTACTCCATAAGAAACGTGAGCACCCGGTGGACACACATTCTAACACAAACAATCACAATATGCGGCTCAAAATGACTGTGGTAGCATAGGTAAGCACACACCCCTCTCACATGCTCGCTGCTCTCTCACTCGTGTGGGCAGCAACAGACGGATGGCTCACCGTCGCTGCGTTGGCCTGCCCTGCATTGGCTATCACTGCTCGTGCCTGCATGTGGGCACCGCACGCACAGCACCGCACAGCACCGCACAGCACAGCACAGCACAGCACAGCACAGACAACACAGCACAGACAGCACAGCACAGACAACACAGCACAGACAACACAGCACAGCACAGCACAGACAACACAGCACAGGCAACACAGCACAGCACAGCACAGACAACACAGCACAGACAACACACAGCACAGACAACACAGCACAGACAACACAGCACAGCACAGCACAGCACAGACAACACAGCACAGACAACACAGCACAGCACAGCACAGCACAGCACAGCACAGACAACACAGCACAGGCAACACAGCACAGCACAGCACAGACAACACAGCACAGACAACACACAGCACAGACAACACAGCACAGACAACACAGCACAGCACAGCACAGCACAGACAACACAGCACAGACAACACAGCACAGCACAGCACAGCACAGCACAGACAACACAGGTGGTGCAAGTCAGTGCAACACACAGCACAGCACCGCACCGAACACCACAGCACATAGCACAGGCGGTTGAGAGATGAGAACCAGGGAGAAGGGAAGTAAGAGAGCTCCGGAAAGGCAGGCGAAGGAAGGCGATCACATCATTACAAGGTGGGCTGGATGAGACACCAGAGCACATGCATCCCACCACACGCTAACACAAAGCACGCTTGTAAAAACCGTGCATCACTGCTTCCATCTCTCGCAGCCCGTGCCCTCCCTTCCCTCCCCCCCTCTCTCCCTCGCTCCCTGCCTCCCTCGCCTTTTGCTCTCGTCCCTCTCGGCCCCAACCCCCCCTCCCCCCTTTCTCTTCTCCCCCACCGTGCTGGTCCCCTGCAGCGCCTTCTTGCAGTAGAGCACTGGCGCTGCCGCCACCACGTTCTGAGTGAACGTCGCTGGGGCAGGGAATGGGAGACAGTGGGGAGAGAGGGCGGGGAAGGAGAATGGTGGAGAAGGTGGGGAATGAGCCGGGGGAAGCGAGGAAGGAAGGGCTGAGCAGGGGAGAATGGGGGATGGGAGAGGGGTTCCGGGGAGAGGAGGCATGCTTACTTCTCTGAGCAAAAGAACAAAAAAAAGCAGGGACCGGGGTGGAGAGGGGATGGGGGGTGGTGCGCGGGAAGGAAATGCGGAAGGAGGGGGGCTTCTCAGGGTAGGGTGTGCAGAAGAGGGAATGTGGACTGGAGAGGAGGTGAAAGCATGCGTGCAGTGTGACATGGGTGCGGCCATGCACACACCTGCAAGCAACAGTGGCGTCACTGTCCGCGAGCACGAGAGCAGGGCCAGGTGTGGCTTCTGCCTCGACTCAATACGTATGAACCTCCTCAGATCAGAATGGCCTGTGAGTGAAGTGCACTCATAACGCCTCGTATCATATCATATCGCGCACCTGCAACGGTGGCGTCGCTGTCCGCGAGCACGAGCGCCAGGTCCGGCTTCTGCCCTGCTGCTCTGAGCGCCGCGTACTTGCCGTACGCCTTGAAGCCCTTCGCCGCCACCACCCCGCCCTCCACCTGTGAGTAGCCACAGGGGTCATGCAGGGGTGTGGAGGGGCGTGGATGGGACAGGGACTGATTAAGCCTCTTACAACTGCGTGCATTTGAACCATTCACTTCATTCACTCATTCCTCCTGTTATTCAAAGCTTAGTATCGACGTTACCTAACAGTACGCGCACTTCTGGTACCTATTTCATCCCCCACCTTTGTACTCGATATGCAATCCACGAATACCGTCACATAAGAACCATAAACACCACCCATATGCGACTCATAGTTAGCCGTTGCTAGCAATCAACCACCACAACTAACCACCGTGACCACCTTCGTTCTCTAATGTTCCTCACTTCCTCTTCCAATCCCCTTTCCCTGTTTCGCTCTACCGCTCGTCCACCCTGTCACGTACCCCTTGCTCCCCCCCCCTCTCTGCCCGCCCCCTAATCCGAGCATCTGATTTTCCTCCCCTTCGTCCCCCCCTTCCCCGTGTTCCCCCATCCGCGCACCTCTTTCCACGGCCCTTCGGGCAGCAGGATGGGCGCGGCGGGAATGAACTTCCCCGCCTCTGCTGCCGCCGCCTCCGCTTCCGCCGACGCTGCGCTCACGCGCATTCTGAACGGCCGTTGCGCGGGCTGGGGATGCGAGCGGGAGGCGAGGGGAGGGGAGGGGGCGGGGGAGGGGGAAAAGAAGAGACAAATGAGGGGCGGCGGGGTATGGGGGAAAGGGGGGAGAAGGCGGGGGAAGGGGGGGTAAGGGGGAAGGGCAAGGGGGGTATAGTGGATGGGTGGGGAAGGGGGAAAATTGGGATGGGAGGATGTTAGAGGTAGGGGAGGGAGAGAGTTAGATACGATGAACTGGTGACTAGAGAGAGAGCGGGGCGGATCCGGGAAACGAACGGATTAATCTGAATTTGAACCAAGTGGGAGGGTGCGCTGGATACCCTCACACGCTGTGCAGCCTTGTTGTGGGACGGCAGAGAAGCAGAGAGACAGATAGGCAGAGAGGCAGAGAGAAGAGACAAGAAAGAGAAAAACAAGGCTGCGATCCGCGTGAAAGGGGTGGCCAGAAGAAGACTCGAGACAAAAGAATGCAAGCTCGAGAAAGGTGAAATCGTCGAGGCGCCTGAAGGATCCCACTCTTCTCATGATCAAATCAGGTAGAATCAGGTAGATAATCAGGCGCCTGGGAGTGAATCATTCATTCGTTCGACCCATTTGGCACCAGCTTGGTGCGGCGCGACACTGACCTTGCAGGTGAGCGGGGAGTGGCGCAGGCAGAGCTCGCGGCCAGCGAAGCTCCGACCAGCTGCTAGACAGGCTCGCGCAGCCGCTTGGCGATCTGTGATTGGCGCGAGAGAAGAATGAGGGATAACAAGAGAGGAGACGCAAGGTCTCTCTGTTGATCTGTGCCGATCGGAATTTGGAAAATGTGTAACGCGTATGGATTAAGTTGCGACGAATCGCAGCCTGGAGCGTGTAGCGCGTATGGATCAAGTTGCGGCAAATTGCAATTTGGGAAACGCCGTGGGTGACTGATTGCTACGAAGCAAGGGTGACAAGTAGCACATTCTGTGACGAATCTCGTGCTCGAACCTTTGAGATCCGACGCTCTTGCGCTCGAAATGGCAGTCGAAGCGGCACGGGTGCTGATGGAGGATGTGGTGACGGCAGCCATGGCTGGGTTGAATGTGCGTGGAGCGGGTTGATGGATGGAATCTCTCAGAAACAATCAGAGTTTCAAATTCAATTTTTTTTGCATTCGGAATTTAGAAAAGCTTGGGGGGAAGGAGCTGCAGGGGAATGGGGGAAGTGCAGGAGTGGGCAGGGAACGAAAGCAGGAGGGGCGGGGATGGGAGGGGGGAAGGGGGGTGACGGGGGGGGGGGGAATTGAATCCTGGTACTGCAGAGATGGGGGAAGAGAAATTTGCGCTGGACGTCCTAGTGGCAAACAGAGTGTGTGCGCTTTACTGGGAGCCGTCGATTAAATTCACGATGGTGAGGTGTCACAGGCTGGTCACTTTGGCTGCTCAAGAAAGAGAGGTTTATCATCCAATGGGGGCGCCGCACGGCCCACGTGGTCCCTCGCATGAGAACAATTCGGTAGCCGTCATTATGAAAGAACAACTCGTGTCCAACTGACAAGGTATGCAGTGTGGAGCTATAACAGAATGGTCCGAATCCACATGACTAAATGGTGATGATCACATTACGCATATTCACACACCTCATTATGCATCTAATAGCATGGCGTAGACACAGATACGAAACCATAGTGGGAATTATGGACCCCAGTGTTTCAATCGGCAAGGGAGGGGCTGGGTGGGTCGACTATTAAACATGTTCTAACGGTAGTTACTGTTCTGCCATGCCATTTACCGTACATCGAAGATACCATCCATTTTGTGGCTGCAGTACACCTAGTCAATGACTCTGTAGAGCAATTAACCTCCATAATTCAACCCTACATATGCGTAACCAACTGCCGTATCCGTAACTGTTTCACCCGCTCCCCTCCCCTTTACTTGCCACTAGCGGACGGACCGGTGCCACTGCTGCTGCCAGTGCCGCCCTTGATGCCCCCCTGCACTTTACTGTCCGTGTCATCATCTCTATCCATGGACACCTGCGCATGTGCCCCAAGCTTCACTATATCCTCCACCAGAATCTTTCCATCTGGCAACAACCAAGAAAACACGCGAAAGGAAAAACAATATCAGCATATTAAAACCCGTAGTGACAAGCTCCTGAGTCCTGTGTCAACACTCCATGTAACTCCCTCGCGCGAACTTTTTCGAAGAGAGCAGGAGCACAACGCAATCAAGCAACCCTCGCTTTACCGACTACCGTATATGCCACCACCCCCAACCCCAATCCTCCTCCCACTACCTGTTCCTCACAGCCTGTACATCTCCCATCCAACAAAAATCACGCTACAACACAACAAGCACCTCTCGCACCCCGAAGAACCCAAACACTCCACTTGAACCCACCCTCCACACTCCCATCCTCCCATCCTCCCATCCTCCCGCCCTCCCTTCTCCCCCGCCCCTCACGCCACACACCTGCGTCCTTGGCGAGGTTGCTGATGAGCTCCTCCAGCCCCTCCTGCCCCAGGCTGTCCCTCAGTAGCGCTGCTGCCGCCCCCACCTCCTCTGGGCTCACCTTGCCGTCATAGTCACTGCACACAGATTCACGAATGGTTAAAATTACGGAGAAAAGGAGGAGGAGGAGGAGGAGGAGGAGGAGGAGGAGGAGGAGGAGGAGGAGGAGGAGGAGGAGGAGGAGGAGGAGGAGGAGGAGGAGGAGGAGGAGGAGGGGACAGGGGGGTCGAGTCGCGGGGAAGGGAGAAAACGAGAGCCACACAGGTTGATCAAACTTGTACAGGAAAGCAAACCAGTTGTTAGAAGAAAAAAAAGAATGAGAATGTGCCGGGTTGGGAGGAGCAAGACGCACCACAGCCTCATGGCCAACTGACACGCACACAACAGGCGCACACAGGTGCATGTTAAGCGTTGTGCGCTGTTCCTGATCTGCCCCACACACGCATTCCCTAGCCTGTGCCCAGGTACAGCTACGTGCAACGACCTGCCTTCCTGTGACTGCCACGACCACCACTGCTGCTGCTGCTGCTGCTGCTGCTGCTGAGATAAGCATGATAGAATCAAGTTCTTTCTCATTGGGGTGTTATGAGGCTGATGGTGTGCAGGCAGTGCGTTCGTTGCCATCATGTTGCTGCCATGCGGCCCTTCTGCTTCCGGCTGTGAATCTTGTGTTGGCAGCAGGCTCGTTTTCACCACTGATCCGCCAGATGAACTGCCAAGCTCACGTGCTTTCTTAGCCCTACAGTGCCAGTGATTATGTGCTGAGGGGCTAGTTCACGTGTGCGACAATTGAGTGCAATGTCACAGTAAAGGTGGTAAAGTGGGAGAGGGAGGTTGCGAGGACAGCCCACTCACGTGTCAAGTGTCTTGAGTCGCTTGCCTATTTTGGCGTCTGCACTGTCCAGTTCCTTCTCTAGCTTGTGCAGCATTGAGTCCACCTGGTAGGGGGTTGAGGGAGGGAGGGAGGGAGGGAGAAGGGGGAAAAGGTCATGCAAATGCAAGATGTTTAAGTCAGACTCATAAATTTTCCTATCATGCAAACGCAACACCTTCTCTATCTTGTGCATCATGGGGTCCACCTGGTAGGGCGGATACGTGAAGATTCAGGGGGAAGAGAAAGCAGCAAGAACAGCAGTGGATCTGCCAGCAGCCAGGAGCAGCCTCCACCCCCTGCCGGGGGATGGGCGGCAGCAGGAGGTGGGGGAAGGGCGGCAGCAGGAGGTGGGGGAAGGGCGCCAGCAGGAGGTGGGGGAAGGGCGCCAGCAGGAGGTGGGAAGAGGGAAGCGCCCTTCCCCCACCTCCTGCTGCCGCTCCTCCCCCACCTCCTGCTGCCACCCTTCCTCCACAGGGGTTGGAGGCTGCTGCTGGCTGCTGGCAGATTGTTTGACTGCTGTACTCCTTGCCTTTGCTCTTCTCCCTGCAGGGAGAGGCTCCAATGCCACACTGATGCACATGTATGCACACATGCACGCACACACAAGCACACACCCACAACCTCCCCCCTCCGCCATCCGCCCTCAAATATACATTACAATCATGGGGGAAATTGGGGACACCGCAGCAGAGAGTGTAAAGACTAGGTGGAAACACCAGGTGGAGATTTACCTTGGAAATGAGTGCGTCAGACACGTCAGAAGCAGCGGCCTCGCTTGCCTCCTTCTCACTCGCCTCCCTTGCTGCCGCATACGCCACCCGCAGCTCCTCCGCGCCCTCTGTGCCGTGCTGCTGCACCATGCTGTTGTACAGCTCAATCTGCAACAAGGGAGGAGTGGCAAAGGGGGTTGGAATTGGACGATAAGGAACAATGGTTGGTGGGCAAGGGAGACCTGAAAGGAGTCCCACCGCGCCCTCTGTGCCGTGCTGCTGCACCATGCTGTTGTACAGCTCAATCTGCAGCAGAGGGTTAAGGAGCAGATGATGGAGACGAATGGTTGTGGTGGGCCAGGCGAGACCTCAACGCCATGCTGTTGTGCAGCTCAATCTGGGATGAGCGAGGAGTGGCAAAGAAGGTCGAGGAGCGAATGATGGGGAGAAATGGCTGTTGGCTCAGCAGAGCACTAATAAAACTCCATCAATAGAGAGAGCTCCTAGGACTACCTGTGCCTTGCTGTGTCAAAGAAAACAGTCAAAGAAAACAGTCGAAGAAAACAGTCGAAGAAAACAGTCAAAGAAAACAGTCAAAGAAAACAGTCAAAGAAAACAGTCGAAGAAAACAGTCGAAGGAGACAGTCGAAGGAAACAGTCGAAGAAAACAGTCGAAGAAAACAGTCGAAGGAAACAGTCGAAGGAAACAGTCGAAGAAAACAGTCGAAGAAAACAGTCGAAGAAAACAGTCGAAGGAAACAGTCGAAGAAAACAGTCGAAGAAAACAGTCATGAAAACAGTCGAAGAAAACAGTCGAAGGAAACAGTCGAAGGAAACAATCGAAGAAAACAGTCGAAGAAAACAGTCGAAGGAAACAGTCGAAGAAAACAGTCGAAGAAAACAGTCGAAGAAAACAGTCAAAGAAAACAGTCGAAAAAAACAGTCGAAGGAAACAGTCGAAGAAAACAGTCGAAGAAAACAGTCGAAGAAAACAGTCGAAGAAAACAGTCGAAGAAAACAGTTGAAGAAAACAGTCGAAGAAAACAGTGGAAGGAAACAGTCGAAGGAAACAGTCGAAGGAAACAGTCGAAGGAAACAGTCGAAGAAAATAGTCGAAGAAAACAGTCGAAGGAAACAGTCGAAGAAAACAGTCGAAGGAAACAGTCGAAGAAAACAGTCGAAGAAAACAGTCGAAGAAAACAGTCGAAGGAAACAGTCGAAGGAAACAGTCGAAGAAAACAGTCGAAGAAAACAGTCGAAGAAAACAGTCGAAGGAAACAGTCGAAGGAAACAGTCGAAGGAAACAATCGAAGAAAACAGTCGAAGAAAACAGTCGAAGGAAACAGTCGAAGAAAACAGTCGAAGAAAACAGTCGAAGAAAACAGTCGAAGAAAACAGTCGAAGGAAACAGTCGAAGAAAACAGTCGAAGAAAACAGTCGAAGAAAACAGTCGAAGAAAACAGTCGAAGAAAACAGTCGAAGAAAACAGTCGAAGAAAACAGTCGAAGAAAACAGTCGAAGAAAACAGTCGAGAAAACAGTCGAAGAAAACAGTCGAAGAAAACAGTCGAAGAAAACAGTCGAAGAAAACAGTCGAAGGAAACAGTCGAAGAAAACAGTCGAAGGAAACAGTCGAAGGAAACAGTCGAAGAAAACAGTCGAAGAAAACAGTCGGAGAAAACAGTCGAAGGAAACAGTCGAAGAAAACAGTCAAAGAAAACAGTCGAAGAAAACAGTCGAAGAAAACAGTCGAAGAAAACAGTCTGCACGACAGAGAGATACAGAAACGAGAGGTGGGGGAGGGGAAGAACCCTTAAGTGAAACATAAGCTTACACATGCTCACAAGGAATTTTGGCAGCTTAGCAACCCCTACATGCATGGCCGCACATGCCCCTCATCCCTTCCCCGAACCCCTCCCCACCCTTCCTCCCTTCCTTTCTTTCCCACCATCACCATCACCCCACCCACACTCCTACCACAGCCAAACCCAATGCCAACCCAACCTCTGTAATTGAAGCTTCAACCCGGCGTGCATGGCATGCCCCTCACCTCCTTGTTCACGAGGCGCAGGAAGTCAGCTCGCTCCTTTGCCACCGACTGCAAAGAGGGACGGATTGCATGGGGAACACGGGCGGTGAGGAACATGGGGGAGGGAGAAAGTGTGGTGTGAGTGGGTGTGGGTGGAAGAGTGGTTAACGAAGGCAAGAAGAGAGGGCATGGAACGCTCGAGGGAAGGAAAAGCATGAGAGACAGAAGAGGAATAGGAAAGGAAAGGCATGAGCGAAGTTGACACAGGAATTGGGAGGGGAATGGGGAACGAATGAAGCCAAGATTTAACTATCCAGACCACCCTCATCCTTCCTTCCTCAAAGGCTCTCTCTTTCCCCCAATTACCACCTCCACCTCCATCGCCTCCCCCTTTACCTTCCTCTCCCTTCCTCTCCCCTCCCCTCCCCTTCCCCCCCATACCGTCCCGTCCCCTTTCCTCCTTACCCACGCCTCCCCCCTTGGCCTGCACACACCGAGCTGGAGGCGAGCACAGCGAGAGCAGCACTGAGGTCGCAGAGCTGGTCCTTCTTCGCCAGGGCCTTGCGCTCTGCCAGCGCGCGCGCCTCCTCGCCCTCCACCGCAACCCCCTCCACTGCCGCTCCCCCTGCTCCCGCTCCCACCACACCAGCAGCAGGCGCTGCAGCAGCAGCAGCGCCAGCAGGGGTGGCAGTGGTGGTGGTGGTGGTGGCTGCTGGGGTGGGAAGAGCCTCGCGCATCTCCTCTCTGGCGAGGTCCCGCCCTCCTGCTAGCTGCAGCCGTGCTGCCTCCTGTGCCTCCTCCTGCTTGAAGGAAAACAAGGAATGAACGGGGATAGAGGAATGGAGTGCAAGAGGGACCACGGGAAGAGCAGGTGTTTGTTGTTAAAGAAATAGGATAAGGGGGGTGGGGGGTGCAAGGGGAATGGGGAAGGTAGGTGAGAATGGATTAGTAGGTACTGTTAGGAGTGGAGTGACAAGGGAAGAGCTTGAACAATGGGAGCATGAGAAGAATAAGCGGAGGGAGAGAATGATGCAAGCAATCAAGCCATGGATGCACAAAGGACATCAGGGTGAAATTTTAGAAAGCAGAATACCAGCCAGTTCCATGCCTCGCTTTGGTGGGAAAACCCGTTTTTAACTTATCATGTTACTAAGAAGAATCTTTTCATCTTCCCCAGCCATCCCTCCCTCCTCTCCTTCCCGCGGTCACGCCTCCCTCCCCACCCTCCCTCTCAGCTGACTAAACCCCTCGCACCTCAATGAGCCGCTCCTGCTCCTTGATGAGCTTGAGCTTGCGCAGGCGCGCGGACGTCTCGGCCTCGTCATCACTGGGCACAGTGGCGCCCACAGAACGCACCACCTCCGCTGGCAGCGAAGAGAGCGTCGCCTGCACTGCCTCCTCCGGCCGCTTGCTGCCCACCAGGAACGCCCTGAGGGAGGAGGAGACGGAGAGAAGAGGGAGGCGGGGGAGAGGCGGAGTGGAAAACGGGGGAAAGGAGAAGAGGAGTGAAGAAAATGCCGGAGATGGGCACTGCGGCCCCTAGAGTTGGCATCACCACCGTTACACCAAAGTTGGTGCCCATCAGGAAAGAGGAAGAAAATTTGATTAACGGAAGAAAGTGGGGTTGCCAAAAAAAAAAAAAAACAAACAAACAACTGCAACCTCTAAAGCGGAAGAGCTTCAAACAATAAGATAGAGGGGTTGTAGGTGCATGGGTGTCACTGACCTTGAGAGGATGAGAAGGGAGGAAGGCACGGAGCGGTTGAGAGCCAGATCCAACCAATCCCGCAGCTGTGGGGTCACATGAGGGAGCATGTGACGTGTCAATATGGGCGTACACAGACACGAACATAAGGATTGAGGATGTAACACAAAAAAAAAAAGGATCACGAAACACTCTGTAGGTGACTTTGAGTCGAAATAATATCTGTTGTGGAATGGATATTTTCCTATGTGCGAGCGAGCCCCTCACCTGCTTCCTCATGTCGTCCACAGAGCGCAGCCCCAGCATGCCCCTCTCCCTGCACGCTGCCCTCAGCTCCCCCTCAGACAGCGACTCCACGCCCTCGCTCTGTATCATCTTGTCGTCCTCCTTGATCCTGGGAGCACATACACAGGGGGGTGCGCACAGTTGCAATGAGTCAGCAGTCGGAGGGGAGGGGGTGAGGAGGGAGGTGAAATGATGAGAGGGGCAGGGAAAGCGTGGGAGGGAGGGGAAGATGGGGCGTTGGGGAAAGGTGCGGGGCAGGAAAGGAATGGGAGGGAGGTGGGAGTGGGGACGGGAAGGGGGGAGGGAGGGGGAGAAAATGGCGGCACTTGTGATAGGAGAGTAACAACGAGAGCGGATGCAAAGCAGTAGAAATCCTGCTTGACAGATGCACTATGACATGCCAACAAGAAAACTGGGAACATGTAGGCTCCGAAGGGCGCGGGCGTTGACTGAAACGACTCAAAGCTGCACCAAGTGTTGGTACATGATTGGTCCAAAAAGCTCACCAGGCGAGCTTGGCGCGCAGGATGTAGCGCAGATAGGCATCTGTGCCGAAAGTCTGCAGGCCCATGTACTTGCACATGCTCACCAGACGAGGCCTGGGAGGGCGCATGTGTGCGTGTGGATGGAGAAAGTGTGTGTGTGGATGGAGAAAGTGTGTGTGTGGATGGAGAAAGAGTGTGTGTGGATGGAGAAAGAGTGTGTGTGGATGGAGAAAGAGTGTGTGTGGATGGAGAAAGAGTGTGTGTGGATGGAGAAAGAGTGTGTGTGGATGGAGAAAGAGTGTGTGTGGATGGAGAAAGAGTGTGTGTGGATGGAGAAAGAGTGTGTGTGGATGGAGAAAGAGTGTGTGTGCACAGAGGGAGGGAGAGGGTGAATGGCGATGTCAACAGTGACGTCAATGGTGATGCCCACCGTGACGTCATAGTGATGTCAATGGTGATGTTTGTGGTGAATTCCCAAGTACTGGCTTTTGCGTTGCACGAGGCAGATAAAGCACAAAACCCCTTGGTCTTTAAGCCCTGGTCCCCTAACACTCCGACAGTCATGGGTGATAAAAAAACACTTGATAGCAAATTGCGCAAGTGGGAGGCTACGAGCACTTATACGGACAAGCTACCATGCCACACACGCACTCACATAGACAGAATTTCAATCGAGCGATGGAAGCACCCACCTGGACATGTTATCGAGCGTGAGCTCATCATTAAAGAGCGACGCAAACGCCACAATCTCCTCGTTTGTCACGCGCCCTCCTGTGTTCACCTGCTCGCACCACCAATCATCCACCACAAAGCAACAGCGGCAAACAATCACCGCGCGCAGAGCATTGATCAGCACAATTATAACCCTTGTCTGATGTCTCGTTTGGGACAATGAAGACCACGATTGGGCGCAAATTCAACTAGTTCAGTGTGCGTATCCACCAGATTCAGTCTTTTCTTCATCCCCTGGATCTAGAACGCGTCTGGAAGTAGCGAGCCATAAATCCCTCCTTTATAACCTTACAGACAAACCCCATCCTCCCCTCAACCCATCCACCTTACTCCATCCGACCCATGCAATCCCTCCCAACAACCCCCGTCTCTCCCAAACCCCTTCCCCTCCCCTGCTCCAGCCCCCGCCCACACATACTCTTCAAACTCCCCCCCTCCCCCTCCTCCCCACACACGCCCTCTTTAAACTCCACACCCTGTACCCCAAATCCTCCCCTCCCTCACACGCTAGCCCACGCACCTTCTTCATGAACTTCTGCAGCTCCTCAGCGGTGCGCTTGACCTCGCCCGACCGGCGGCTCTTGACCTCCTTGGCCATCTCGCCCACCGTGCCCTGCAGGAACCGCGCCATCTCCAGCCGCGCCTGTAGCCGCCGCTTCAGCTTCTCCTGCTCGCGCGCGCAATGGGGAGGGTGGGGGGTTGCGGAGGAGGCGGAGGAGGCGGAGGAGGAGGGGGAGGGGGAGGGGGAAGGAAGAAGTACGAGGGACGTACGTAACGGGGCACAATTTCGGTTTCGCCAAGGCCGTGAGTTTCTAGTCTTGCTGAAAAATGTACAAGCAACTAACGAGTAAAAAGAGCAAGAACGAATGCGAGAGTAAGGCAAGAAAGGGTGAGTGGGAGAGGGGTTGAGGGGTAAGTGAAGGGGAGGAAGGGGGAGGGAGAGGAGGGGAGAAGCGGGGGCGAAGGGAGGTAATAGGACGAGGACATTCGACGAACATTCAAGCTGCACGCAGTACCAACCAGGTGTCCGACCCGCGGTCTTACCTCTTCCTTGTTCTTGTCTTGGAAAGTCGAGGGCAGCATGTTGGGGAAGAGCCGTAGCGCCAGCGGAAGCAGGAACTCCAGGAACGGCACGATCACAAACACGGCGAACGGCACGAGCCTGAAGATATCAGCCGACGTGCGGGTCAGCTGCTGCCTCTCTCTCCTCGTCAGCGCTTTCCCGTTCGCCGCTTTCAGCATGAGACGTGAGCTGATCCTGACATCGGCCCACAGGAGCTTGGACCCCACCCAGTAATGGTGCGCGCCGTGCTTGATTGCCTTCCACCACCCCTTGAACGTGCCGGACCAATCCGCTGCTGACATGCGAGCGACGGACGAGATGCCACGTGGCACGGCCAGAAGCAGCTGCCACGTGCGCGACAGCACGGCGAGCACGAGGAGCAGCGACGCGCGGACGACCCCGCGGCCCTTGCTGACGGCTTCTCTCGTCGCTCTCACGCGCGCTCGCACCTCACCGAGGTCCTCCACCGCCTCGTCGCACTCCTCCGCTAGCTCCTCGCCCGCAATCCGCGCTGCGCGATCCCCGCTGGTGGCACCTCCGGAAGGACCGTGCGCTCCCGAGCCTGCAGGAGCAGATTGCGCTGGTGTTGCGGCTGAAACCCCTGATCCTCGTCCCCCAAAATCGGTTGAAAAGCCTGCTGCTGCAGATGCGGTGGTGGATGATGCTCCTGACTCGGCTCGCACGGAACTAGCCGGCAACCCATGTCCGGCCGATGCGGATGATCTCGGGGAGGTGGATACGGGACGTCTAAAGCGAGTAGAGCTTGCAGTGACCGTGCTGTGCGGAATGGCCGCGCCTATTGAGAAAGAATCTCCGGGCGATCTAGTCAGAACACCTCCTCGTGTTGGATTCCCGAAAACGTGATCGCTGGAATGAAATTGATCCCTGACTGATTGATAGTCTAATGCTGTCCGGCCGCGTCTACGAATCCCCGAGGAGCGATCGCGGGAGCTCGCAGGAGTAAGAATGGCAGCCGCTGATGCGGGAAGCAGCGATTTTTGTCCGGACGGTGCACTACCCTGATCTCTTAGAAGACTAGGAGTTTCGAAGCTCCCAAAACCCAGAGATTTGGCTGTTCTGAAAGGCTGATGCAATTCCGGCGAGAAATGGTCGGACAAGACACCATGGTCAGGTAATGGCTTTGCGTCTTCAAAACCAGCAGTCCCAGGTACCGGGATTGTCGATCCCCGAGCGTGCTGCAGGGTAGTGAGATTCGATTCCGAAGCTTGAGATTCATCCTTCGATGAATGCGCCGATACCGTCGAAATTGGACGACAGTTTTCGGTAGACCTGGCAGGCGTGCTCTGCAAAGATTCTAGCGCTTTTGAAAGCGGAGCCGCTGATAGGCGACGAGAACCAGAGCGCCTGGCACCTGCGAGATGCTTGAGACCTTGACGCGTAGCCATGGCTGCCTGGTGCTTGGCGTTGCAAACTCACGTTGTTTTCTAAAGGTCAGGGGTAAGCTACATGAGCGGTCGCATCAGGATGCGTATAATGAATGACTATGCGAATGATTGTCGGTGTGCTCTGTAGACTAGAACCACCCTGTAACCATGCAAAGGCGCTTCGACAATGTCACAAGAGACGATCGCGAATAGGAACGCGAAAAGGAGTGAGATGAAAAGATCACGACACAATAAAGCGTGGGTGCAAGTGTTTACTCCGCTTCTCCTGCATGTGGAGGGTGATCTTAGACAGTAACTGTGTTAGCTTCGACGTCCAGATCTAACCACACAATAGCAAAAGAGCTTCAGGAGGCTGGAGGAAGCGCGAAGAATGAACGCAAACGGGCCTAGAGAGAGCATCGCATAGTCCACATCCCGGAGATAGAAAGATACCTCAAGCCTTCCCTTTCAATGAGAAGATTCTGGTTGACTGGAAGGGACTCTCACACCGCAGGTGGTACTAAGTGGTGTAGTATGTTGCGTGATGTTGACCTGTGGTTTCAAGCGTTGCAGTGTGGTGAACGAGCAGAGCTGGCACTGATTATGGGGAAGAAAGGCAGCGGCGCGCTCTGCGTGATCCGGACGAATCTCAAGGTGGCGTGTGCTTCTGGAGAAGCATGCCTTCATGATTTCACGGGACACGAGGCATCACGGCGAACGCAAAGCTCCTCTACACTTGGTTCGCGTGAATTTGGGTAACGTCACAGGTTGCCTGATTTTCTGGGTCATTTCTTCCGTTGAAGCAGCCTGTGATCTGTAGCCAGGTGGAGGAAGAAGTGAACTGAGATTTCGATTTTTGACACGGTGGATTTCCGTGTCACACATTTGAAGGACGTGGACCCCACAAATGTGGGAAAGTGTAAGCAGCCCAGAATCGTTGAACCTAAAGATTTTTCTACACTTCGTTAGGCCTTTGGCCTAAGTCCTTTAACTGCTTTATTTACAGTATAGTATATGTACAAGCAGTACATGGATCATGTAATGTATTCAACTAAGCAAACACCTACCTATTGAAAAGGCCTAAGGTTTTCAACCGTCCGGACCAAGGTAGGCAAAGTCTGCAACCGAGGGCAAAGTTGCCTCGGGAGCCAACTGATCCGAGGTGACCGAGAGGCGTATCTGGGAACGACGGCACACGGACCGAGCCTGCTCACGCTGAAGGACGAAGGAAAGGCGCTTGAAGTAGTTGGTTTCTAGGAGGTGAGGCACCAGGTCCGTCGTGCCACTGTAGTCACGAATGCGGGCTGCACCACGACGGCTGCAATCTTGGAGAAAGTGCAGGAATGACTTGCCGAAGCAGCCGAATGTTTCAATTGCAAGAGGAAAGAATATGACGTGGGGGAGATCGCGAAGTGATGTAGCGTAGAGAGAGCGTTTCTCCGCCTCACGAGCAGCAGCAGCAGAACCAATGACAGTAGCAGCGTTGGAGTGAGGGAAACCGTGCTGTGGATCTGCCACTGTGACATCCAAGGCCCAAGCCACTCCTGAACTCATGTCTCTGCAGCTGATGTCGGGACGGCGACCAGGAAGGAGGTGATTGTCCTCTAGCTGGGAAGGAAGACACAGCTCCTTGAAAATCTGTTGAACCTCATGTTTGACGGCGTCATGGACCCTAGTGGGCTCGTTTCCGGTAGGGCAGCGAAGGACGTGGGAGACAATGGATGGGTCTGTGTAAGAGAAACCGCATACGCAAGCACGGGAGGTGGTGAGGTGTGCGATGGGAAGGCCGAGGCGGATTGCAGCTGCAATTTTCCATTCTGTCGGGGAAAGCTGGAGATGCTGAGTGGATGGGGCCACAGAAAGCCAATCCCCTGCATGGGGCCCTTGCAAGGAGGTTAAACGGGCCAGATGAAGGGGAGAAGTCACTGTGGAGCGCACCCGTTCGAGCATGGCAGCTTCCTTGAGTTGGGAAAGGTAGGAGTAAAGTTTGTGGGGATATCCCGAAATGAGGGCAGGCCAGGAGGGGAAAAGGTGAAGAATGTCTGGGGGAAGGCGTGACATGGCTGAAACAATGCAAGGGTCGAGACGGTCAATGGTGTCACTGGAAATGAAGGGGCGAAAGATGGGAGCACCGCCGACGAAGAAGTGGGAGGACAGGAGAGGGACAGATTGGGCCCAGCTGCAGAGGAAACTGAGATCAGCAAACCCAGCGGAAGAGCGGAGGCCAAAGCCACCTAAGCGGATGGGAAGGAATGGCTGGTGGTGTGCGGTAGGAAGATGGTCTAAGTCAGGTGGCCAAAATTCAGAGCCAACGAGGCGGGTGAAGTGGTTGAGTAAGTCGTTATCCCAGTCTGTGTACAACTCTGTAATTTCAGGGAAAGGAGGGACCGTGCGGAGGAGGAAGGAGGGGCGTGCTGAGACACAGAGGGTTAGAAGGCGAGATGCTATCTGAGGGTCGTGCAGGTCGTGGAGAAGAGGAAGAGACGCAGCAAAAGAGCGGAGTTTGTGGCCGACTGAGGAGATGATGTATGAGTCAGATCCAATAGGTACTCCGGCCACAGTGAGGCCATTAGGAGCGATGCTAAGGTTTGGTGGAGGCATAGCGTCTGGAGGAATGTCAGAAGGGCCATAAAGCGAGCACTTCGAAGGCTGGACGGTGAGGCCAAGAGGCTGCAGGCGGGAAGTGAGGGTATTGTAAGCGGCAAAAACGTCCGGGGCTGGGCCAACTATGTAGGTGTCGTCGGCATATGAAGTGATAAAAGTCGAGGGGTGGAGTTGCTGTGTAGGGTGGATGGTGAGCTGCTGGGTAAGGGCATAGAGGAAAGGTCCACAAGGGTCCCCCTGCCGCACACTGGAAGCTGATTGGAGGGTCTCAAGGATGGGGCCGTTGCGGTAGTGGAGAGGAGAAGGAGCAGCGTAGAAGAGGCGGAAGAAGGGGATAAGGGAGGAGAAGGGGGACTGGCGGAGGGCGTCGAACATGAAGTTGCGGTTAAAGGAGTTGAAGGCATTTGCGACATCGAGCTCAAGAACCACCCAATCCGGGTGAAGGGATAAGGCGGCCTGGACCGCATGTGCCATGGCCTCGATACCCGCAGGAACAGCGACGCCGAATTGAAGGGAGGGAAGGAATAATTCTCGGATTTGTTGTTTGTAAATGAGAGTAACGCAGCGGGACAGCAAGCGAGGGAGAACTTCTCCAATGGCAATTGGCCGGACCCCGCCTTGGGGCTTACGTAGGGCGACGAGATTAGAAGCTGCGTAGTAAGACCGAACGGCCGGGGGGAGGTCTCCCTGTAACCAGGACTGGAAGAGGCGGAGGAGATATGGGAGGTGGTTCTGCGAAGAGAGGAACGTGTCTCGCAGATGCTCGATGAGCCACCCTGAGGGGCCAGCAGCTGTGCCGCGTGGGGCAGAACGAAGGGCCTGGTGCAGTAAGGGGACTGTAAGCTGAGGTAGCTCTGTAGCAGTGAAAGAGGCCACCCAGTCAGGGATCTCGGCAGCAGCTGGAGGGTGCTTTGCATGAAGCGCAGTGACCGTGTCTGAAGATGGTGGTGCCAGCTCGCCTGCTTCTAGTGCTGCAAGGGATCGTGAGAAGTCGCCACACCGAGCGAAACGTTTGGCCCGATTAATCCGCGCCTGCGAGGCTGTGGACCGTGCTGAGGTGAGAGTGGAAGGGCGGGTGGCTGGGACAGCTGCAGCGAATGCCTCTTGGAAGAGGGAGAGCCAATCGCCTTGGAGGAAGCGACGAAGGAGCGCAACGCAAGCGGATGTAGTTGACACGGCGGAAGAAGAAGGCGGAGAACGAAGTACTAGGCGAGGAAAGGCAAGGATGATTAGGTGGGCAGCTGTGTCACCCGGGCAAGCGGCGAGGCGGTGGAGAGGAATGAGGAGGGCGTCGAGCATGAGGAGGCGGATGCGAGAAGGAATGCGTCGAATCAAAGGCCCCGGCAAGACAGTGGGGCTGAAGAAACCTGACCAATCCCAGGTGAGAACCACCTCCCAAGTCTGCTCCGGGATGGCGGGTGGGGACAATGCTGGAGGTGCAGAGGGTGGGGGGCGGGGTGGTGGAGGGCGAGCAGCCTGCTGGCGAGCACTGGAGTGACGCGAACACGCAGATACATGGCGCGAAAGGGTGCCAGCGTTGGCGCACGGGCGGTTGCAAATGGGACAGTTGAAAGAAGGGGCGGCGGGAGAAGGGCCTGCAGGAGGAGGTGGAGAAGGAACAGGAGGTGGGTGTGAAGTGGGTGCCGGGGGGTTCGGTGCTGGCTGCGGAGACGGTGGAGGTGGAACAAAAGGGGGTGGTGAGTTGTTGGGGGTTGGCGAGGGCAGAGGACGAAGAGGGTCTGGTTGCGTAGAGTGAGGGTCGTGGGGGGGTGGAGGAGGATGTTGCTGGGGAGGCGGGGCATCTATTTCATAGTGAGATAGTGGGTGCGCGTTGTCAGTATCAACCGTGGGATCAGGAACAACTGCTGTGGCACCTGGAGGGTTTGACGCAGGAGAAGGTTGGTCTCGAGAAGTAGAGGGCGGAGGATGAAAGGTTTGTGGTCGTGATGAAGACGATGGCGTAGGAAGAGTTTCCTTAAGGACCTGCTGAAGGACGTCTTTCTGCTTTTTTGAGACAAATTTAGGCGTTGACGTTGGCTGAGGTTGCTGGGAAGGAGCAGAAGAAGGGCGAGGCTGAGAGGTAGAGGGGGGTGCGGGGATCGATAAGGCTGCTGAAAGGTTCGCAAAGGCTGGAGTTTGGCGCGAACGGGCAGGCGGGCGAGGAGAAGTGGGTTCAGAGTCTTGGGCACCACGACCCCTTTTGCGGCCTGTCATTTTGTAAGGAAATGGGCTGGTGGCATGCGGAATGATTTTGGATATAAAGGAGGCATATGAAAGGTGGTGAAAAGTGTAGTCTTTGGTTCAGGTAAAAAGTTGGTGTAGCGAGGAAGGGCACGTAAATTGGCTGGGGAGTAGCTGTCGCACGCGCGAATGTGGGCTTAGCGAAGTGGCGGGAAGTTGAGTTTGTGGGGTGGCGAAAAAGCAGTTTGAGGGAAGGGCGGTGCAAATCTGATGTTCGTGCAGCGGAAGGTAGAAACTGATGTTAGGCCGTGCTGTCCTGAGCTGCTCAATGCAGAGCTCAAACCACGCTGTTGCAAAGGAAGACTTCACACCGCACCGCGCGCTAATAGTCTGCCAGATAAGCAGGGGCTTCGTAACAACGTGCGTCAGGACCGTCACGGTAGATCCTCGATTCTAGATTCTAACAGCTTGTCGCGTCAAGGGTGTCGCGGATTGCTAGCAGGTCGCGGCTCGAGATAGGAGTATAGAAGAAGGTGCAATGCTGCTGTTTTCGCCCCGTTAGCGGAGAGTAGTGAGCTTAGCAACTTTACTTGAGCGAGCAGCTTAGCGAACTACTACGAGAAGCGTTCTAGCGCTTTTTATACTTGCTGCAGCGAGCTGGAGTGAGAGCGAAGCAAACCACTACGAGAAGCGTTCTAGCGCTTTTTATACTTGCTGCAGCGAGCTGGAGTGAGAGCGAAGCAAACTACTACGAGAAGCGTTCTAGCGCTTTTTATACTTGCTGCAGCGAGCTGGAGTGAGAGCGAAGCAAACTACTACGAGAAGCGTTCTAGCGCTTTTTATACTTGCTGCAGCGAGCTGGAGTGAGAGCGAAGCAAACTACTACGAGAAGCGTTCTAGCGCTTTTTATACTTGCTGCAGCGAGCTGGAGTGAGCGAAGCAAACTACTACGAGAAGCGTTCTAGCGCTTTTTATACTTGCTGCAGCGAGCTGGAGTGAGAGCGAAGCAAACTACTACGAGAAGCGTTCTAGCGCTTTTTATACTTGCTGCAGCGAGCTGGAGTGAGAGCGAAGCAAACTACTACGAGAAGCGTTCTAGCGCTTTTTATACTTGCTGCAGCGAGCTGGAGTGAGAGCGAAGCAAACTACTACGAGAAGCGTTCTAGAGCTTTTTACGTCCCTGCCAATATCTTCAATATTGGCTATTAGATGTATTCAGATTTGAAAGATACTGGCAAGCACAGAGAAGAAGGATATAGAATGCAAGAGCAAATATTTGAAATAAAGCATTGTGGGATAGTGGAATGAAATATAAGCAAGCTAGTGCTGATTTTATCAGGATAATTACCCTGATTTCAGGGTGATTTCGGACTTGTCATTTTGTGGTCCCTGTAAAATCAGCTTTATCGTTTCCTGAACACTGATCCAGTCAGAGTAGTACTGTACTCTCAGGTTAATGTTATTATGGACCCTGTCAATACAGAGTACGCGTCATTTGGACCCTGAATGAGACTTATTGGGATGAAGCTTCCTGGAAACTTCGTACGAGTACCCCCCATCTGCATGCTTATGATTTTGCATGTACCCATATGAGGGAGCAGAGTCACGCGCAGTACTCACGTAATACAGACAAGTGACTCAACTCTCTTCTGTACAGCAGCGCTGTACATCACAGCTGTCAACTTCGACAGCAACCAGAATCATGATTTCTGCAGCTACACGCACCGCGCAAAGCTTAGCTTGTGCCCCTCATTGGCGAGTGACATCTTGGAACTAGCGCTGCACCAGTTACACCCGAACCTCTCAAGTCTACCTTGCATGACTCTGCAGTTAGAGAAACTTCCATACCGACCGATTCTCATCGTCTTGCCGCCTTTACTCTACCCCCGGCTATTGCTTCTTGTAGTAAAGATCCCCCACCGGCCGCGCAAAGTCCCACACACGGTGCGGGTGTCCGTTGGTCCTCCGTCGACTTCTTCCTGCCCAAAGAGAGCACGATCTGGGAAGTGGGTGCAGAGTACCCTTCTCATCGGAGGACGCCGTATTTCACCTCTTGACATCCCGGATGATCCACCACCTGATGTCGCAGATACCCCAGAGGAAGCTGACATCCCTGTCCGCGCGGACACCTGCTTGCCCGCACTCACCAAGATGCAGCTGAGAGAGCAGATGTACCTTGAGGCGATTATCAGCTACGAGACAAAGTGGTCGGGCCAGTTTTCGTAGCTTCTCCTTGGCAAAACCAAGGATGATTTTCCCTATGTGAAGTGCAGCGTCCGCATGTCGATCGGAAAGGAGAACACGAGGTACGCCAGGCAAGGTGATGACGGTGTCCGTGACTTGCAGACGCTGACGTTTCGAGCACACGAGCACACGGCACTCACACGGTGGAGGTTGATCGGGAGTTGAAGATTGTAAGGGGCATCCTCGAGGGGCAGCATGTGATTTCAAACTTCATCAACCCAAACATCGAGGGGAGGCGCGCCACTCGACTCATGCGGTTGGTTGTGTTTCTGCACCAGTGCGACGCGCCAATAAGCATGTTCTCGAAGCTGATGCAGCATCTCGCAGAGCAGGACACGCCCGACATTCCGAAACAAACTTACGGTGTCTATCTCACTCAGCATGACGTTGATTATCGGCGGTGTTTTCTTGCGTGGTTTGCGCCTATTATTTCCAGCCTTGGTTACTAACTTGTTGAGAGAAGTCCATGTGCGGGTACGGATTCCAGCAGATGGTTCACATCATCAGTACCTACCTGACGAGGGTCCAGATGGACCACATACAATCTTCCCCGTTCGTGGGCCTGAGCTGCGACGAGAGCACCGACCGAACGCAAGGGAAACATATGATTGTTTACTTCACCTTCATGAAGGATCGCCGAGTCGCCATCGAGTTCTTCACCATGCTGGCAATCGAGAAGTGTGATGCAGCGTCCCTGTTCGAGGTGCTCCTGAATCATCTCAGCTCCTCAGCCGTCGATGCATCCAAGATTGCCGTAGTCAGTACGGACGGGGTGTCGGTCATGTTGGGGAAGGACAACAGTTTGGTGGCGTGGATTCGGGAACACATCCCTGCATCTCTTTTCCTGTCACTGCATTGCCCACCTATGAGTTTGCTTGTCGGGTAAAAGTGTTGTACATGCCATTGGTTCTTATTATACCACTTGTGTTATTTCCCATGCGTCCTAGAGGGAGGCGCTGGCTGTGAAGGACGCGGCGACGTCAAACCCCAACATGGACATGGTGGACAAGATGGTGCGCACCGTGGCGGCAGAGCTCGGGAAGTCGTGC